GAGGTTTCACTGCAAAAGAGAATGAGCAGCCAAAGAAATTAAAGATGATATCCACGACAGAAGGAAGATAATCTAAATGCTATAATGTTAGCTACAAACAATTAGTAGAAATAGAAGCTGATGCTAAAGTGCAGATAATCAAAATGTTCATTTAGATTCTCTTTCCTTAAGTAATTCAGCTGACCTCAAGTTTAGAGCATTTAAATCAAGGTTTGAAAATTTGATTTACAGTATAAACTCTTCTTTAGTTCATGGTTAAATCTGTAAACGTCCTTATGAACAAAAAGGTATTCAGAAGTAACATACAATCACCAATGCAGTATTTTGGTATGGATGTACAAAAAGAAATTAGGAACAACTAATGGAAGACAGCCCATAAAGGCCTAGAAGTATTTGTTTTCCTACATTCCATACTTGAATCTTAAAGTGTACTTTGATAATTTGTCTAATCTGCATACAAAACAGTATTTTAGTATTCTCTAAACAGCATCTCTTATCCTTCAGTTTATGTAAACCTCAAGAAATACAAGAAATGAGCTTTTAAAGCACAACGCTCCTTGAAAAAGTGACAGACATGACAAAGCATCCCGATTTGCTAGTGATCACCTAGCAGTAACTAAACACTATCTTACAAAATATACATCCTAAAAACAAGGCAAAAAAAAAAAAAGCAGAATGGGGAACCTCACTTTACCAAATTTTACTTCTCAGGAAGCGCAAAGTTAAAGGTCACAATTCTGCATCTGAAAAGATCTGGAAGCTATGTTCCTCCTCCTATTCTCCAAGCCTCCTGCTTGCCAACTCACCCCTTCTTTTAAAGGGTGCCCTTATGTCCCTTGCTGTTTCTTCACAGTGAGAATTACTTACACTGGACTCTGGAGTCCACAGTGTGTGGGACACTCACTTCAGCATGTTTTCCCATTTCATACTATTGTATGAATTTCGGGTTGTATTTCATTGCGTCTGTGCTTTTATTCCTGCGGAATCTACTAGGATTCTAGTTTAAAAATCCCTTTTAGACAAAAGCTCAAGTTGTTGGTGCATTTTGGGTGGATCAAATGTACTCTAAATGCTGAAATATGTTTACCACTCCTTTGCAGTTTAAGTAGAAATGTTCTACTTCCTCACACTTTTTTTTTCATAGCAGGTTTCAAGCAGTTGATCTACTCTTAACATGCATCCCATTTAAATCTAGTGCACATCCAAGATCTGTCATCTGATAGCGGGCAAATTCCTAGAGAGCATCAGAAGGTGAAATCTATTAAAGATCACCATGCTGAAGAATAGAAAGGAAATATCATTTGCAATTCCTTCCCTAAATCCACAGGGGGTAGGGAGCAGCACAAGAAGAAAGGGACAATTTATTGAGACTTCCTATTTCCTTTAGGTGTCATTTTCAATTGCCTTGAAATTTACAGTTGTAACTTTCCAGAAGTGCTCCACAGTTTGTTTCAGTGTCAGTGCAGACAGGCAGAACAAATGCCACCAAAAATCAAGAATTCTGTTGAGGATTTAGAAGTGTAGGTATCAGAACAGAGGATGTCCAATCAGCCACCTGGTGGGTTTTGTTAATGTACAGTGTTATAAAACATTGTATAATTGTTTTGTTGTGAAAACACTAATTCCTTCAGTCCTGAGCAATACCAATGTGAAATATTAGAAGCCATCATGTATTATCTCATTACTTTGCCACTGAACTGTATTTTGTTATACAAGCAGGGATCTTAAGAGTAACACCGGCTGTACAGCAAAGGACTTTTCCTAAGCAGCAGCAAAGAGTAACTTAACTTCAGCAGTGACAAAACAGCAGCGTAATAACCCATCAGTATTTTAAAAGAAATTATAATAATGGCAGAGAAACAGCAGCTCCACAGAGTAAGCTTCAGCCACGCCCAAGCTGAGACTCAGTTTGATGCTGGTCATTCTTTTATCAAGTAAACAACCCCAAGTTGAGTTAGCCTCTTTTGGGTAAGAATTAAAGATGTCACAGGACACTCACTACATATTTGATTTTGGAATGTTAGGAATGACATTAATAGGACAGACTATTTGTGCTGCAAAGAGACAAATCCCCATGTCACATATGAACTGTCACCAGCTGAACTGTCACAAACACAGTTACCTAAGAACACCTTTCCTACTCTAGTCCTGAAGTTAGAGGTCTTCATTGATAAGAAATCACTTGCTTTCTGTAACCATCATTATCTACCACAAAGCTGGTCTCCATTGAAGAAAAATAAATGTGTTTACAGACTATAGAAGCTCTGGTTTGAGCCATAGTCCTGAAATGGTTTCCAATACCTAACTGTCCATCTACATAGATCAGAGATCTTAAATTATGCTGGAGGACATCTGTACTTGTTTTTCAAGGAAATGCCATCTATCCCAGACTAAAAGGGAGTTTGATTTCTCTGAGATCACAGTCGATCCCACGAGAGCCCAGCGGGATTCACCCTCCCGGTCCCTTGGCATGTGTTGGTGTCACCTATGCCGAGTTAGGCACTCCTAGAAAAATCACTTTTGTCTTCCTGTGTATCCAGCCGGTATCTGGATACACAGTTAACTTGTTATCAAAACTTGTTATTTTTCCCTACGGATGTTTGCTGTGTGAGCATTCGGATTTCGCCAACACAGCAGGTAGAGCGCTAAGGGACAGCGGCTCCTCCAGCTCCCGACTCAAGAGCGGGCACTCCCAGCGCGCTGTTCTCACGTTTCCCAACACACACTACCGAGGTCTGAGTCACACCGAGTTAAAATCCGGCGGGCGCTGCCCTCGCACCGCTCTCCTCGCCCCGGGCCAGCCCGGCGGTGGCTGCGGCCAAGGCCCGGCCGTGACACCGGCCCGGGTCACCCGCGGGGCCGGGGCAGCGCGGGGACCGCTCTGCCCCTGCCTTCCCCTGGGTATGGATCCCGCAGCTGGCACAGGGAGCCGCCGCCTGCCCTGTCCGGGAGGGCAGCGGGACAGGCCGGCGGGGCAGGCAGGGCTGGCGGGGCACGGCGGGGCGGGGCGGCCGCGGGCCCGGCGGCCCGGCCCTCGGCGGGCCCGGGGAAGGCGGCGGGGCTCACCTCCCTTGCAGGGCGTGCGGTGCTGGCTGTGCTGCGCCCGGTAGCCCTCGATCACCTCCCACTCGCCGTTGTCGCGCTTGATGGGGAAGGTGACGCTGAGCACATGGTTGCAGGGCTTGATGATGCGGAGGATGCCGCGGACGCGGTGGCGCCGCTCCTCCATGCTCTCGCGGGTGCGCAGCCCCTCCACCAGCTTGTCCTCCACGATGCTGGCGCCGCGATCGAAGAACCCCTCCACCATCTTGAAGAAGTTGGGGTCGTCCTCCTTCTTCGCCGCCTCGCAGTAGTGCCGCCGCGGGCACCGGCCCCCGCCCCACGCCGCCGCCGCCCCCCCGCCCCCCGCCGCCGCCGGCCCGCCGGGCTCCGCGCCCGCCAGCACCGAGCCGGCGGCGAGGCGGGACGCCAGCAGCTCGCCCAAGTAGCGGTACATGGCGGCGGCCGCCAGATGAGGATCGGAGCGGCGCTGCCGCTGTCACAGGAGGTGCCGGGCGCCACCGCCGCCGCCTTTAAACGGGCCGGGGGGGGCGGCGCGGGGAACGCTCCGCGCCTCCCGAGCGCGCGTGCGCCCCGCGGGCCGCGCCGCCCCCGGCGGGATTCGCGGGCCGGGAGGGGGCGCGGCGGGGCCGGGCCGGGGCCGAGCGGGGCCTGCGCGGGGCGGGAGCGCGGCCCGGCCCCTTCCCCCCTTCCCTCCCCTCCTTCCCTTCCCCTTCCTCCGGCACGGGCCTGCCTCCCCGCGCCGGGGGAGCCGCGCCGCTGCCCCAGGGCCCGGAGCGCTGCGGCCCGTGCGGAACCCAGCGCAGGTAGCTGCCGCACGCTGCCCTTCAGCCGGGTGGAAAACGGGGCCTCTCTTGGCGCGAGTGCAGCTGCGAGCGGGGGTGTGTTCACACCGAGCAGGGTACAGCGCTCGCAGGGGAAGCTGCCGGGATAACCCGGCTTACCCACGTGTGTTTAGGTGCCCCCTGGCAAGAGGGGACAGAGGCTGCAGGTGGAGCTGTTGGCATGGCAGCTTTCAGAGAACCACCGAGGCACTGGGGCTGGAAGAGACCTCTGAGTTTTGCCTGCTTTGTGTAGTCAACCGTTGGCCTTTTGCTGGGTGTTGGTCTATTAAAATCCGTGGTTTTTATGTAGCTCGGGTATTTACATCTCTAAGACTATTGCTTTAAACTGTGCAAGGTCTGCTTTCAGAGCGTGGGTGACAGTGTGTTGTATTATTGAACCATGTTCGTTTTATAAGTATGGGTCATTTTCTGTAGGTTTGGGCCGCTGTTTGGAAAATACAGTGGGGTGTTTCTATTTTAGGTTTGTGGGAGGCCCATGCCCTTAGGGCAGGAATAACCAGGAAGCTGGTTTATCTCTATGAGAATCTCTCTAACCACCGCGGACATCCAAGGGCTGTGCTACAAGGCTTGTGGGCAAGTAGTTTAATGTGTATTTGTCAGCAGGAAGCTTAGTCATAGAATTTTTGACCATACATAAACTCTTTGGGCAATTGATATTCAGTTTTTATCTTGATATAATGTGGTTCTCTGTCCCAAGATTCAAAAGAATTTGTCCTAAGGTCCACTAATAAGACTGCTTCTTATCTGTAATGAGGATGGTTTATAACTGTAGCCTAAAGAACAGAGATCCTTGATAGTAAGTGATATGGAAAATAAAACAAGAAAGGAGTTTGTTCTTAGCCTGGTTTGTTCTTTGGATGTTCCCACGGGGCTTCAGAAGCAAACTACTGATTTGCTTGTCTGTCAATACTCTAGGTGGTTCATGGAAAAGTTCTATTTTGGTGTTAATTTTAAGGTCACGGGGCTGCAGTGTTCTCAGTGGTTGTATCAGCTTTGAGGTACTGTTTGATTTCAGTCATCTGCACATTCTCATTAGTTAAATCTCAATTTCTGTACAAGTTCTTGAATTTTTCTTAGGAAAGAAGGTGGTCAAAGGTCTTGTGGCAATTAGTCATTTTAAGCTAATTATTTTTACCTTGTTCCATTGGCTAGAATACCATTTCACATACACAAAGGTTAAATGAAAAATATGATTAGCCAGTTTGGTCAAGCATGTAGAGGTATATCTTAAGGTTAATGTGCTTAGCTCTTATCCTGCTTTCAGCTGTGGTCTCTCTGATTTACGAGCTTCACTTAATTATCAGCTGCTTGCAATATCAGGCTGTGTTTGCAGTACACGTTTGGAGATGTATTTGAGACTAAGTATGGAACATGAGAGTGAAGAGAACCAAGTGGATCTCTACAGAGGTTCAATCACACAACTGTATTTGGAGCAATGCAAATACACCAAAGCCACCCTCCCTTCTGAACAGGACTGGGTTTTTGACTAAATATTCAACAAGCTCTGTGCTGAATGCTGAGAATAATTAAATCAGGATGTTAATTTTCTTAGCCTTTAAATGTTAAGATAGAAGATAACTAGGGATTTTTGTTTGCACATTTTTATGACTGAAATAACGTGTACAGTTTACAGGCAGTTTACCAAACTCCATACCATATTTCTGTTTGATTCAAGTCCCTTCTGGAGACAAGAGGAATGACACTGCCTGAGGCTATCCAAGAAGAGCAACAGAAGTCATAAGTCATATACCCCATTCCAGTATTGTTATGTGGTAAGTGGTGAGCAGGTGAATATTGGTCAGAGAAAATTAAAAATAGCATGCTTTAAAATGAGTTCAAGCAAGTATGAAAGTGGTAATTGAAATAATAAAAGAGGAACTATATCATCTTTGCTCTTGTATAGCATGTGAGATGCCATCAGAAGATTCACATTTGAGTAGCATCAGTAAAAAACCACTGACTTCAATAATTTCATGCTGGATGTTTGTCTTAGGCCTACATCTGAAGAGAGAGATACGTAGAGAAAACTCAATACCTGTGTGGTAGGAGCTGTCTGTATGATTCATGGACTTTGCAGCAAGGTCATATTCAACTGTGTGTACTTGATAGGTATCTGTTTCTATTTAAAATCTGTGAAGTATAGTTAAGGGACACAAACAAATTGATTTAATTTCCTAAGCTTCCTCTAAAATATCTTATATAGAAATGTTAACAGATTATGTTTATTATAGGTAAGAGCAATAATAAACACTGCATTGTGCCTTCCTAAAGCAATTTACAGTTTCAAGATGTAAATTATCAATTTCATAACAAGTGGAGTCATTTTCTATGTGCCAGATTTTAAAATTTTATTGAAAAACTGGAGCCCAATACTTTCTGCTTTAATTCATTATATTATTTGAAGTATTAGCTATTTGAGATTATGTAGATGACTAGCATAATCTTTTTCCTGTGTCTAACATCATTAATAATGGTATCATAAATGGAAGATGTGCTATTATTAAAATTTAAAGGTAATTTAGGTTCACCTTGGTGTTACCTATGAAAGTTTGGCAAAAACAGTCCCAGGATGGACTGATGCTGAATACTCTCAGAAGCTAGGATAGCTACTCCCAGCTTGCACCCCAGTCTTCTTACCAGCTGACCAAAAAAAATGAGAACAAGCAGAGAAGCGGCAAATGGGGGATTCTCACAGGGCTCTGAATAACTCTGTCTGACTAAGCCCTTCAAATCCAGGGGAACGATGGGGTTGCCTCCTGTGCAGAGACTCCAGAGTTTGAATCCATTAGACAACATGCTCAGGAGAAAGTTGAACTGTACAGTGGGCAGAGAACAAGTTCCTCTCTGTGGTAAACTGTCTTCTGGGAAGAGGAATTGTTTTCCAAATAATCTGCAAAAGGAATTAAAATTGTTTCAGCAAGCTTCGTTTTAAGCTGTCAGCCATATCAATCGCCTAAAGCACTTGACGGTTCTTACTTACCCTTTCTTTAAAGAATTGATTGAGATAAATTCCAAATACGGGTAACACTTACATACTTATTTTTCCCTATTGATTCCAGAAATAACGGGGCAAGTTGTAAATCTGAGGTTCTAGCACAGTGGGATGATTTAGAATATTATATGAGTTGAAGCAGGGTCTTGTTCACCTTTGAATTGCTGATGTGAGCAACTAGGTTTCCCTTTCTCATTTCACCTGAAATTGCAAAAAAATGCCTATTTTTTTTTTGGACACAAGTGTTACGCTGTATAGCTTCATGTAGACCTTGGCAGTGTAACTAAATAGGTGAGAGCTGGGGTTGTTGTCTTATCCCAAACTCTGCTGCAGAAACTCTTCGTTCTCTGAGTCAACAGATCTCTGGACAGTTGCATAATAGTTCCTGTGAGAATGGGAGGATATGATCTGACAGGAATATTAACTGTAGTGCTGTTCACACATCTCTTGGCTGAGATCCTGTGAGTGTTTCTGTTAAATAGAGGGCATGCAGGTAAGCAGCAAGTATGTAGGACTTCACAGAAATCCTCTTGCATTGGACCTGACTGCATATTGTGGGAAAGTGTACTAAAATACTACCAAATAGCAATCTGATTATTTTCCAGATCTTTAGCTTGAGATATTCTCGAGTTTCCTGGGCTTTATTTTCTGCCTTCACAATGCTTTAGAGTAAAGCTTTGTGTATAATTGGTTTTGGCATGGCACGTGAAAACAGAGATGACAGTTTCTTCATCTGCGGGAAAATGTACCAGCATTCAGTCCTCAGGGTAGTGGTGGGTAATGTTGGTACAGCATTTGTTCTTTTAAAGATGTGTTGTTTTATAAAGCAAATACACTACAGCCTAAAGAGTCTAATGAATTATTAATGTAATCTGAGCTTAATTTTAATTCCAAATTTGTGAATAAGCTGTTATACTCTTAAGTGCCACATTTCTTGGTAATATTCTTCCCTTTTTATGCCAAGCCAGCACAGGAGTGAAATGAGGTGTGTGGAACAGTTCAGTTGTCTGGTTTCTGTGTTGCTAGAGGGCTGGCTCTGTAAGATGCTGTTAGAGGCAGCACATGAATTAGTTGAATCCCAGCAAATTCCTTTAATTTGTGACTGTCTATATAAGCACTTGTACCAAATGAACACTTGACTAGAAATCTTCATTTCCATCACCTGTTTACAACCAGTTAGATACTAAAGCTTATTAAAAGCCTTTTTACTGGTAGCATAACTTATCAATACTTAGATCTATGGGTTTAGAGACTTTTCTTTCCTCTATAAAAAGCTTCAGCTGCGTTCAGCCTCATCAAAGCTGGAGAGCAGTCTTGCAGGTTTTCTTCATTTGCTCCCTTTGCCTTGAGAAAAAAACCCCAAATTTGGTGGTTTTCCAGGCAGGCTGCAGAAGTTAGATTTGCACATGCTGCAAATCTGAGATGTGCTTTCTGTAATACTGGGAAATTGGAGATTACTTCCTGTTGAGATAAAGACTTTAAACCTTTCAATATTTTGTGTTATTTATGAGATGCTTAGGTACCTGTGGTCTTATTATTTAACATTTTTATGTATTATTTTCATTAAATTGATCAAATATAAGCTGCTAACATCATATGTAAATAGTAACTTTTTTGCTTGTCTGTAGCACTGTAAAAGTAGGGAGTGAAACTCATAATTGTGCAAGTAAAGTAGAAAGCTCTTAGGTTTAGCCTAGTAGGGACTAGGCTGAAGTGAGTGGTTTTTTTACTAGAGGTATTGCTACAAAAATAATCTGTAGCTGAGCAAAATAATATTTAGATTTATTATTTAATCAATCATAAGATTTTTTTACTTTTCCAGTACTTCTGCAACAAGATATTATTCTTATTTCAGAATTGTGGCAGTAGATTTATTAGACTATTAGCCAGAATGTGAATTTGACAGGGATTCCTAATTTTCTTAGTGAAAGGTACTTGAAAAACCCTCAGTAAGTGGACTAGTCTACCAATGGTACAGAGCAAGTGTCAGAGAGCAGTTTTCTGAGCTTTTAACATGTTAATAATTCTGCTGCATGCATCAAAATATTGCATAAATTCTGCTACCTCCCTCATGAGTAAATATTTTTGATTACCATGAAAAGTGGTGATGCTTATGTTTATTACTTTTAAAGACCTTCTGTCTCCATCTGTTTATATAGTTGCTGTGCATGATGACTGATGTTGCCAACTGGTGACTTCAGCTCTGTGACAGAGCAGATATAAAAAGCTCTTCATGTATACAGAGATAATGTCCTCATCTCCTGCTCAGACAGTCTATAGATATGCAAAAATTCGCAGTGCCATATTCCAGTTCTGGTACTGTGAATATATGGCTAATAACTATAACCAGATAATAAATATTAAATATGCTTTTTAATAATACATACTTCCTGTAGCCACCTGTGGTTTTCAGATAGGTAGGACAAAAAGTAACTTTCTGTGGAGGCTGTGGGTCTGACCCGAAGCTTACTGGAGTCAGTAACCAATTAATCTGATTTCAGTGACCTTTCCATCAACATGGCCCTTCATGAAGTGGTAGAGGCTTTTGTAGGTCAGTGTGAAGTCTTTTCCTTTCTTGGTTCTTGTATCAGTGAGAATGTGTTCAGGTAGCTGCTTTTGTCATTGTGGAATCATCTTTAGCTTTTGCTTGGTGTTTCCTCATTTCTAATCTAAAAGACAAAAGAGGGCATGATACCAAACCCCTATATATTTGAGATTTCCATCTAGCTTTTAAATGGGTTTGAAATTAGCTGATGAAAAAGCTAATAATGGGAAAGCTGACAGATATACAGGGACAAAAACTTCCCCAGGTGCACTGCGAGCATGCCAGCTGTGTTCCCTTGGATAAGGTTAGGAGGGGAAGAAAGTACTTTATCGGTTTATTTCCTGGAAATTATGTCTTTTAGAGAATTGCTGTCTATTAGACTCAACGCAGCAAACAACAGAGAGTGTCAAGTGGTTTGCCAGGAGCGGACAAAGAAATAACATTTACAATTGAAATAGAGGGATTTTTGCAACTCTTGGTGTCCTTGGCGGTCTGGCTGAAAATTATACCTGAGATCTTACCAGCCTGCAATCACAGCATCAGAGACTGCAAACCAGTTTTTTCTTACTTTAATACTCAATTGACAATCAGAAGTTGTTGACATAAATGTAGTGTGTATTGTTTAAATAACAAACATTAAAGTTCTTAGGAACTGGAGGATACTAGTCCCCTGTAGTGCTTTTGCTTGCGTTTCTATTAGCAAAATCAACTTTAGCCTCTTTCACTTTGGAAGTGTGGTTATGGAAAGCAGTATTGTTAATATATGTTTGAATGCTTAATCCTTTGTAAAATGTGTTGGTGGGTAAGCTCGGATACAGAGAATTAAGAACTGCCACTTAAGTTTGTTAGTACAGTAGAAATTGGCATTGTTTATCAGAAAAGTCCAGGAGTACGTTGGCTGATATTTTTCAACACATTTGGATTTCCTAAAAAAAAAACAAGAAAAAAAAATCACTGGTTATGCTGGATGTAAAAATGTATATCTGTTATCTTTTCTTAGTCATCTTTCACAGACACCAAGATTGTTCATGGTGCCCACTGGATGTTGAGATCAGCATAAAATGTCACTGTTGTATAGCTCATCCCAGAGGAATCTCAGAATGGGAAAATAGGTCAGAATAAGAAATAATTTCTGTTTTAATTAAATTGTCCTATCTTGAGCACACTTGAACAGTTTTTTGGAAGCGCTGTATTTAAAAGAAGGTAAACATTTTTCTATCCTTTTGTTCTGTCTTCTAGATAAATGGCTTGGTTTATTAATAATATCCTATGTAAATTAAGTTACATATGGTCCTGTTAGATGTATAGCCGTGCAGTGCCAAACATCAGTGCCAGTTTATGGAGTTGTGGCAAAACCTGCACAGACAAAATCTGTGCATCCTGGAATGTTTTCTGGAGGGATTGCTGCTGTCATTGTTACCTGGTGCTGGTGTGGGAGCAGTGGGCACCTTAAGGAGTAAGGCTGGGATGGGCCACGTGTTGTCCAGTGCCAACATCCAGAGATGACATGAGAACAGTTTGAAATTCCTGCTCTAAACCCTCAGTACCACCTTAGAATCTGACTTAGATAAACATTTCTTTTAGCTAACAAGCTGAAGACTTTGTGCTGCTCAAGTTTTTCTTGATTATTATTTATTGTCTAATCTTGTCGGTGTTGGCAAGATAATGTCTACTTTATCTGTTCTGTTTGATCTCTTTTGTTCTTTCCTTTGGAAATCAGTGTGTTGAAGTTAAGTTTATTTTGAAATACCGCTAAGGTAGAGCTCTGCATATAGTTGGTAACAGATTTTCTGATTTCAGAAGGACTAATTTATTGTGGTCTTCTGAATAAATGAGTTAAAATCACCATGGAATTTGTAAAAGCTTATCCTGATTTCTTTTGTCTTATCAGTTTTCAGATAAGCCATGTGTTTTTCTTTAGTTTAGTAAAGGAACATTAACTGGCAGTCTAAATAACGCATGCTTTTAGATTGTTCAGTTACCATTAGAGATCAGTTTTCTTGAATAGAGGATGCTTTGTGTTCATCCCAGGTTTATAGGCTACATTATCACCGTGTCAGTTACATAAATAAATGTAACATTGGGCTATATAAGCGGAAACTGAGCTTCTTCCTCCTGTGACAAAAACCTCATGAAAGTAATAGAGGCGAAGGAGGAAGAAAGAAACCAGTCTCCTTCACTGTTCTGTTCTCCCAGGATACTTAACGCCTCACCTGCCAGTGAACCCAGACTTGCAGTGCAAGTCCACTAATGTTATTTAGTTATAGGTGTAATTTATTCTTGTTTATTACACTGCTAATTCTTTGAAGGTTATTTTAAGTCAAAGAAATTAATGGACCTGTTAACTAAAAGGAAAAAAAAAAAAAGGTCTGTTATTTGGCAAAACACTGTACTCATCTTTTTTTCCCCAAGGTGAGTTCTGACGTCACAGCAGAATATACCTGACTGCCTCAGGACTTAAAGTAACTCGTAACATTTTTGAAAACTAAGGCTTAACCATGTGGGTATGTTCTACAGAACACTATATAAGGTAAGAGAGAACCTCTTTCAAATACTGTATGAGGTTCAAGAACTAAATTGTGTTAATCCCAACTTTGAAGCATTTGATTATTTTGTGCTGATGTAGGTCAGCACATGATACCTCAGGTAGGGAACAAAAGCAGAGGAGGACAGTAAATCTGGTGTTGTGGGTTGAGAGAGAAAGTTGCAGATATAGAAATGGGATGACCAAGGATGGTACATGTTAGAATCTCAGTAGGTAAGCTGAAAAGCTGAGGTGAAAAGGATAGTTTTGTGACAATGCAATGTTTAAGGTATGAGTATGTGATTCACTGAGTAAGTTCTCCATTTGTTTCAATTTACTGTGCAAGCCAAAGTAAATTACTTAACCTTTCATTCCCTCAGTTCCCATGAGAAAAACAGGTGATGATAATTTCCCCCCACTTCTTAAAAGTATGGGAAGGACAAATGCATAAAGTATTGTTTGGCATCGAGCTGGTTGTGCAAACTTACACGATCCGCACATCTGAATGAATATAGGCCAGAAATTACAGAGCACAGGCAGTATTTATTTTTAAGGAGAAACTTCTGGAATTTGCTTTTCTAATAAACTAATACAGTTTTTCTTTCCTGTCCGACTTGGGTTTTCTCAAGAAGTACAGGAAAGTCTTAGATTATTTTCCAAAGTGACAAGTAAAATTCTTCTTGTCTTGAATGTCTATTCTTTATATTAATTTTACTCATTTTTCTCCTTCTCAGGAACAGAAACAGTGAGTTCTAATGGAACTACAGTTCATTAATTTTATGTTGAAGATGATGAAAAATAGAAGTTATATAGGCTTTTCCAGGTTCTGTTGGATTAAAAGAATCCATAGAAATTAGTGTTAGAGAAACAGGCAGCAGTTCTCTTGGAATGACAATATCTGTGGCTGCATCCATAGCTACTTTAATATGTCTGTTTGAATAAAAAGAATGATTGTCAAATATATTATTTACGTGTTTTGCCAGCAGATTTAATTTCAATTATTTTCATACTGTATGCTTCACGTGTCTGGAAAGAAATCAGACTTTCAGCAAGTCTTTATCCAGCAAATTGGATAATGGCAGGTGAAGAGTAGGTGATATAACTTGACCTGTGGCTATATTTGGTTATAAAAATTTCTAAATTGCCAAGTAAGGTGGAATTACTCTGCAAACAAAGGAAATAAATACTGGGGTTGGCACGAGTTCTTTGGGAATGTGCCAGTCTAGATATGATTGTGCTTTTTTGCTGAGAATGTCAGATCAGCTTGTTTAAAGCAGTGTAGTTTTTTGAGCTTTGTCTACACTTGGTTTTGTTCTTGGTCGTGGTGCTTTTTTTTTTTTATTTTGCCACCCTAGACCATAAAAGAATACAAAATTGAGATAAGATGGACAAAGGTGACTTTATCTAATCTGTAACTGCATGGACTGCTAACTCTAATTGACTCCTTGAGACTATAGACGTTGCAGTTGGGCTATTCCACAGCTTCCTACAGATCAGTCAAGATCAAACCTCTCACTGCATCAATTCTTGTAAAGCACTGTGAGTTCTAAAGATCAATGACAAGCTTTCTTCTAATAGTTCAGCTCTTGACATTTAGTTCTTGACCTGAGAAGTCAGTATTTCCTTTTTAGGATAATAGGATAGGACTACCCTTGAAGTATCATGAGTACTGTTATTAATCCAAAGTGTAGTGGCAAATTTTTGTCATGGAGCCTGGAATGACACTGGAAGTCTAATGTAATGTGGAAAACCCTAAGTAACTTTTAAATTGGAATTACTTCAGTCCACACTGAACTGTATTTTGATTTATATAAGATGAGCAATTGAGAATTTGAAAGAATGGGGTTTGAATAACTGTTGAATAACTATTCAAGTCGGGTTTCCCCACCTCTCTCTAAAATACTTATCTTGGCTGTAAGAGTGAGGTTTTCCATACTTTAAAATTACCTGGATATAAAATGTAAGTACTTATTTTTTAAACACTGTTTCCCAAGTTAAAGGGATAAGCATAGGTAAAGGGACTTGACAGTTGGTTTCCATTTGGGATTAGAATTTAAACTTCCTTTTGGGCTGCAAAAGTAACACTTATTTGTTTGCCATATTGAGAATGGATCATCAAGTAACATCATAATGTGTAAAGGAGTTAAAAACTACACAATATTGTTACACAGTTCTTAATTCTTATTATGTTACCTTTTCTATATTTGGCTTTTTTAATGAAGAATGCAATTTAAATGGACATTGCTTTGGATCCAGCTTCATCAAATCAAATTCTTGCACTTGCTTCTTTTGTGAAACTTTCCCTCCATGCCCTTATTAATTTTTACTCACTGTGATCAGACTGTTCAGTTTTCTGCATGTTTTTTCCCTTGGCAGCTGCAGTTCATAATATATTGTATAATATTGTAATGTCATACAAGTGACATGAGAAAAACACGTCAATATTTTGATTCTCACTTGTGTCTGAATACCTTGTATTTACTGAATGATTACTAACTTTGAGGAATATGCCTTCAATTATTTTTTAATCTGATTTCAGTAATATAAACTGAATCACCATTTGTTACTTTTTAGATTTGTCCTGACAAATATGATATCTTAGCAGTTTGGTTTTATGTGTTTTATTTATCTCAAATTTTTCTTCTGCTCCAGTGTTTCATAAAAAAAGTTAACATGAAATATTGCCATATTTCACTTAATGCTTGCTGTGTGTGCATGGCTTCTAAGCTGCCATTCTTTTGGATGATATATTAGTTTTACCTGCAAGATAAAGGTTGTATATATATGTAGTGTTAACATCAGTATAGTTCTTGCAATGCAATGTCAGGTAACTCAGAACATTAGCTAAGACAGAACAAACTGTACTGCTTGTTGAAATGCTTTCTGCTCTGTTGTAAAGGTTGCTAATCTCTGGAGAAAGATAATAGATCACATGTTTAATAGCTTTTTGCTTTTTCTGCTTTGTCTGCTACTTTAAAGATCTTTTAAAGTTAAGCTCATATAAACAGGTTTTACTGCGAAATTTATGGGAAGGACAAAACCCATATGTATTTACTCATTTCCTGTCATATGTCCAATACTGCAATAGCTGATTATTTATATTCTGTGTACTTCCTGACACAAGCAAGTAAAATCTGGAGTTACTCAAGTCATTAGCTGAACACAATGAGTACTTTGATATGGAACGGATACCAAGTTCCCTGTGTTTCTTCACCTCTCTGCATTCATCATAATTTATTTTACCCCTAATTTTCCTCTTTCATGTTTTCACAGAGCGTGAAGTTCACATGTGTGTGCATGGCACTGAAGTCACAAGTCACACATAGTAATTTTGTGTAAAGTGTGTCAGTTGACATCCAATAAGGACAGGTTACAAGATGCTGTTCAGAGCTACTTCAGTACCAAACTCATTTGTGTGTTGGGGCATTAAAAAGAGCTGTTCAGAAAAAGATAGATTCCTAACATTGACACTGCCACTTCTGTTCTATATGAAAACTTCTTGCTTGTGTTTTTTTAAATATTTTTAGAAGGCTGCTGTGATGTCGGCTTTGTTTGACAGTTCACATGGATGTGTGGTAAAAATTATGCTAGTGTACTAGTAACCACATTGGCCTTGTGTACACTATCAGTCCTGTTGTTTCTCTTCTAGTAAATATCAAGTATAGAATTTGCAACATGTGTCAGACAGGAAAAAAATTGGATTTGCAAACAGGATTACAGTTCCAGTACACAAAGTATTAAGTAAACTACGAGGTGACCATTTCTTAAATCTCTACTCTTTTGGCGTTATACTGCAGAAAGAGGCAATTTATAGTTTTACTTCAGCTTGGAGCAGCTTCTGGAGGAACACAAATGGGTAAATAGATAAAAGGTTTTAGTTTCCATCCTTGCCTCTTCATACTTCAGGAGCTTTGAAAGTTACACAACTTGAAATTTCGTGGTTCTTGCACGTATTTGTGGGGTTGGTTCTGTCAGCATAGTTGGGTGGTAAGACTGATCATCTGGAGTACCAGCTTCTCTCCAAGGAAGGTGCTTTCCTCCAGGTGGGTTGCTGGTGTGTGTGAACATGTGAAGACTGCACATACTTGGCTGGACTTTCTCCCACAGCACAGGATGGAAGAGTTAGGATGGGCAGGATTGTGTAGTACTGCAAGTAATAAAAACACTTGTAAAAGTTATTGAATTAAAGGCATCTGGGTGAAGGTACTCAGCAATAGTCGTAATAGCACAGTACGGATAATAATTGAGTTATTGCCTCTGAAAAAACAGTGAGGAAAATGATGCCCCTTTACTGAGAATACACATACAAGGTGTTTATCAGGGGTTACACTGTTGTGCACTGCTGTTACACCCTGTGACTTAGAACAGTAGAGGGAGACCCAAGATGACTTGTTACACTGTACCTTGAGTTTTTTTAAATCTACTTGAGGTGTTTTCAGACAGCTCACTTACCATGGAAAAGGGTACAGGCCATATAGATGAATGCTTCTGGTAATTAATTAATGCACTTTATTCACATTTTGTTCGATGGTGATGATTAACTTTTCTGGGCATAGTAGGATAGAAATTGTAATCTACAGTTTTCTGAGATATAATCAATCAAATTACTTTTAATAACTAGTCTAAGTGCATTGCTGCCTTCAAGTGTGAGAGAAAGTTACCTCTTTGAAATAAGGAAATTTGCATCTAAAAGGCACCTTTGGCTCAGTCAACTGTGTTGATAGTTACTCAGTGTTACCTGTTCCCTATTAAAGCTTAACCAGTTTGCTAAACTAACATCTCTCTAAACCATTGAAATGTAAAGGCTTATATATTAAAAAACTAATGCTAATTTCCTATATGTCTCATATCTTATTTTTTTCCTAGGTAAATGCCAAAAGACTTGAAAATGTTCTTTTTGTTTCCAGAAGATTCAGTGTAGTTCTCACTCTCTTAAAATACTCAGAATTTTTTCTCTTGGTTTCCTGCAGTGCCCTAGTAAATTAACAACTTTACTCCTTAGCTGT